AAGGACTCTGGGATAGAAAATGAATGCTTCAAAAAGCCAGTGGAGGAAAAAAAAAATAAGAGAATGGATATAATTGTCACAATTCTGCTAGACAAATCCTGCACATCTACACTTGGCCTATGGGGAGTTCAAGCCAGGACAAACTTTATTTATGAATTTTTCTGAGTTTCCAGCTGAATACAAATGATTTCAGCACTTTCTATAACCCAATTACCCCAAAATTTGTTTTTTTTCCCCTGAGGGGCAGCTTCTTTTACCATACAAGGCTGGGAGAGGGGCCCAAAGGACATTTGGAAGAGGAAACAACTGTGGGATTGTTCATCAGGATTGTTCATTTGATACACCAAGCTGAACTAAAAAATCAGACAAAGTAGCACAGTCAGAAGATTTAGGCCAGGTTGGTAAAGGTGGAAGAGAAGAGTACAGGTGACCTAACTAGGGGGCTGTTCTGATAAGGTTAAAAGAAAAGCAAAAGCACATGCACAAGAAACTAGAGAGCCAGAGTGGGAAATTCAAGTGCCCTCTAATTCCTTGGTCTCTGTCTCTGTCTCTCTCTCTCCTTCTCCCTCCTTCCCTCCCTCTTTTCTCTCAAAATCTTTTTAATGGATAAATGTACAGTCTTTTGTACTCTATTGTCTGTTCTTTATAACTCAGTGAGTCCTTATTCATTTCCCTTCTTTAAACACTTCCTGAAGCACACTGCACACCTACCTGGATGACCTCATTCCATGTTCATCAATGGTGTAATATGCCTAGGTTTTAAGTGTTGTACTTTGAAAGATTGATGAGGTGTTTATTTAGGAAGTATGCTAATGATAAAGGAATTGCTTTAGTCTAGATCTAAAATGTCTCGCAGAGGCCAAAGTTGTGAAAGCTTTACTCCCCACCCAATTTCGTGCTATTGAGCAATGGTGGAAACCTGAAGAAGTGGGCCTTAGTGAGATGGCTCCCAGTCACTGGGGGTGTGCCTTCATCTTCCACTTATTTATTTATTTATGGAGACCTTGGTAATTAAACTGATGGTTTTGCTCTGCATAAACTCCTACCATGATATGCTACCCCAGGACCAAAGCAACAAGGCTAAGTGATCATAGACTTTTCAGGTCCTAAAACTGTGAGCCAAAATAAAGCCTTCTCTTTTTGTAAGTTGATTATCCCAAATATTTGCAATAGGAATAGAAAGTTACCTAACCCAGGAAGGAATACTTGCTGTTGAAAAAAAAAAAAGTGGAAAAGACAAAAGAAACCCTAACAACAAGATTGGCACATGCAAAACACTTTTTTGTATACAGGAGACACAACATGTGAAGTAAACTTCTTAGATGGGGCAAGTTAACATATGCCATTCTTTTGAGATATTCACAGAACTGTGTTTGCCAAGAGAAACAGAAGAAGCAGAGGGGAAGGGTGTATCCTATTTTCCTTTCTCGGAGTATTTGAGAACATATTTTAAAGTGTAGGGTGGAAAGTAGATTTGGGAGCACGGAGATGAATGGGCTGATCGGGAGGCTGAGGCCAATTGCAACAGTTAGCTTATAGCTGTTTAGATGGTCTGGGAGTCTTGAGGGAGGCACTCCATGTCTACAGTTGTGGTAATAATTGGTTACTTGCTTTGAATTAAATTTCACATATTTGTGGCCATATATGAAAACCATGGAGACATATAAGAGGAGGAGCCTGAAATTATAATGAACTCATTAATTCATTCACAAGTATTTATTATGAACTTTTATGAATAGTGTCTACAGTAGTGGTGCTCTAGGCATTAGCCACAAGGGAATGAAAAGATAGGCGAAGTCTTGGTGCCCTACTGCTTTGCATGCCATTGAGGAGAGATATACACTTGCAGGGGATAGAAAAGGGGCTGATCCCTTCAATGCCCATCATAGAGGATAATGGCAACACCCCCAAAACAAAAGACAAGTGACCAAGAGGAAAGCATGAGACTTGTCTTGTTATGGTTTTGTGTGACACAAGAGCCTTCACACTGAAGACCCACAGGCTCAAGGTGAACCATTTTTATCCTCAAGTTCAGTGAAACAGGGACACCTTGTAGAATGTGATTGGACAAAAAGGGTCAGAGCTAATATAAAGGAGGGGGACAGCAATGCTGGCTGTACAGACCTTTCTTGGCTCCTCAGTTTTGGCACTTCTCCCCACAGTCTGGGCACAGAGGTAGGAAGTTTTTGAAATGGGCATCTTATGATCTACTGTGAGATGAGGCAGGCCAGACAATTTGTGTATGACCAGCTCTAAGACAGAAAGGTGGGTTAAAATTGGAATGACACTTTTAGTCTTTATGGCTGGATTAAGGAGAAAAGGTATCTAGTTTAGATGTACCACAGCGAAGTTCCAGTTTCCATGCTTGGGTGAAAAGAAGGGGAGGAGATAGAGAAGGAGAAGGATAGAGAGAAACTTGATTGCTTTTAGAGAATTTCCTTTTGGGATATCATTTTCTGAGACCCAAGATAATAAAACCATCAATAACTGAGGAAGTTTCAAATTGTAAAATTGATACATGCTGTGACAATAAACAAGACTAGAGAAATGGGACAGAGAGTGGCTAGTGGGGGTGGGCAGGCAGGGAATCTGGTACTTTAACAGATGGCTCCAAGGAAGCTTCCCCATGAAGAGACATTTGATCTGAGGCCTGAGAGATAAAGAGCCAGCCAAATAAGGATAAAGAGGGACCGTGTCCCAGGCAGAGGGGATAGCAAGTGCAAAAGCCCTACATGGAAAAGCTATGGCATGGCGTGGCGTGTCTGGAACAAAGAGAAGCCCAGAATGACTGGCATGTAGTCTGAATGGGAGAATTCTGGGAGAGGGGGCTGGAAGGGCTGGCATGGCAAGGAGATCAAGTTGTATTCTAATGTCAGTGGGCAATGACTAGAGAATTCCAAGCAAGTGACTAGTATAATTTTTCTACGTGATCTCTGGCGATAATGAATCCGTGAACCAGCAGCACCTGGGGGCTTGTCAAAAATTTAAGATCTCAGGCCCCACTGCAGATCTGACTGTATAAGAATTTTAACAGAGAACACTGATAGGTCTGACCCATTTGCCTCCAGCTGCCCAAGTTCCTGGAGTGGCTGGCTCCAGTCGCCTGAGCCCCAAAACAATACTCACACATGTTGTTGCCGTGAAGTTTGCACTGCTAGGACACAAAACATTGGCTGTTGCCATGTGGCCATTGCTGCTCAGCTAGTCTCACTTCACTGATTCCCCTCACACCCGTGAATAAAAACCCCACTCAATACACTTGAGTTAGACTCTCCTTTGGAGTTACTTCAGGAGGTCTCACTCAGAACCCCCAAATTCAGGCTGGCTGTGTTCTTTCACTGGCTTGCCACATGTGTGCATGAAACTTTGAGAAACTCTGCAGTAACCATATTTGTAATGTTAAAAGACTCTAAAAGGATACCCACTGAGATGGTTATAATGTTTATTTTAAAAATGAAAGAAAAAGAACAGGACTGGGGATGTAGCTCAGTGGCGGGGCATTTTCCCAGAACATGTGAGGCCCTGAGTTCAATCCCCAGCATAAAAAAGTAAAAATAAAATTTTAGAAAAGGAAAATTACAAATACTGGTGAGGAGGTAGAGAAATCTAAACACTGAACACTTGTGTTGCTGGTAAGATTGCAAAGTGGTGCACTTTGCACTTCCACTGTGGGAAAGAGCGTGTGGAAAGAGTTTGGCTAATCTTTGATAATGCAGACACAGTTAACCCATTTAGAACAATTTCACTCGTTCAAGGTATATACCCAAATAAATAAAAAAACATGTTCACAGAAAAGCTGGCATGTGAATGTTCATAGAAGTACTGTTCACAATTCATGAAAAACAGAAACAACCCAAATGTCCATTAACTGATGACTTTTAAAAGATAGAGGTATATCCACGTGACGGAATATTACTGAGCCATGAAAGGAGTGAAGTACTGAACATGCTACAACCAGGATGGGCCTTGGGCACATGCTAGATGAGGGAAGCCAGAAACAACAGGCCACATTTTGCATAATTCCATTCATTTGAAGTGGCCCCAGTAGACAAATTCATAAAGACAGAAAGCAGATGGTGGATTCCAGGGGCAGGGCCAGGGGAAAATAGAAAGCGACTGTTTGAGGGGTATAGAACTTGATTCAGGGGTGATGGAAATATTCTGGAACTGGATAGGATTGATGGTTGCACAACATTGTAAATGTGCTAAATGTCACTGATGACAAATTTTGCGCTATATGCATTTTACTATAATTTAAAAAACATTACAAATGACCTGAAGAACAAGAGAGCAAACACCAAATGATATTTCACCATTTCATTAGCTGCTTAATTATCTTACTCTTAACAAGTAGTAATATTAATACTATTTATTCTCTGTTGAGCACAAAGGTTGTGGAGAATTAGATGTTTTCTCTTTTATGGCATTGCTCACATCTAGGGATGGAACTACAGTGCTGCTTCTTGGCAAAGGTAAAGGAAGGGATGGGTTACAGTGTGCTTCAGGGTTCTAGAAGAAGTATGAGTCTGCCAGGGTAGTAAACTAAGGTTTCAAAGGCCAGACAGCATCTGAGTAGACTAGGAGAGGAATCAGTTATCAAGGGCAAAGGGAACCCTATGTGCAAAGGTCAGTATTATGCAAGGATGGGGCCCACTTAAGGAACCATGGTTGGTTTGGTGTAGCTGACAAGGAAGTGAGGGGAACCCACAGATAAGCTGGAAGGGTGGCTTTCTGAGCTTTTTGCGCTTGCTTACAACATTCTCTGGCATTTCTGGGAATGGATGGGTAACTCCAAATTCTGCCTGTCATCACATGACTGTCTCCCCTCTGTTTAAATCTCTTTTCTTTTTCTTCTTTTTTTTTCTTTAGAGATAAAGGTGGGTTTACTTACCTACTTATGTACCGGCCTTGGTACTTTAAACAGACCAAAGGTGCTGAAAATAGTTACAGTAACTTGAAAAAAATACATAATAGAAATATCCAATATCTTAAACAATATATTAGTCTCCCCAAAAGTTGGCTGCTTCCAAACTTGATTTAATATTTTGCATGTTTTCTCTCCATTGCTTAGTAAATATATTTGCTTCTTCTTTCTGTAGTGGATGTCTGACAGCTGATTTTTTTGTTAACTGACATTTCACCTTCTGTTTTACTGATTCTGAAGGAATCGTTGAACAGCTTATAACACTGACTGCGGAAGTAATACTCAGAGTTCTTGTTTTTATACGGATCAATATTTCCCATATTTTCTTCATGTCTGAAAGGCCTGAACTCTTTGTTTAATGACAGCAGGTTAATGAGACGAGAGTAGTCATCTTCTTCCTCCTCAGAGCCAGCAGGACTTCCTCCCTCAGCTGTCTGGCCTTCTTGCATGGTGTCATTTTCATTTTTGTTCTCCTCAAAAAACTCGGTTGTACAACTGTTTTCAACAATCTGCCCTTTTATTTCTTCTAAAGGTTGACTGAATTTAGTCGTTTCAAAATTGTGTGCTTGGGCACTCTCTTCTGATAAGCGGTCTCCTTCTGTCTGTTCACGGTCTCCATATGAGCTGGAGTAGCAGCCTCTTGATTCATTGACAGCATTCTGTTTGTGTTCAACTTCTGACCTTGCTTTTTCTGACACCTCATCATCAGAAAATGAAAAATCAGATCCCTCCTCTGTTTCAGTGATTTTATCATCTGGACCTACTGGATGTAGAAGTTCATCATCTGCCTGCATTTCCTTTGTATAACTACTGGCGGAAACCTCAACATCAAGAGAATCCTCCCTCCTGATATCACTAAATAAAGCTCACTCTTAAAGCCAAAACATCTCGTGAAGTAATCTCTAATGCATTTAATGTCTCTGTCAAAATAACATTCAGCTTTGGGATGAGAAGTTGAAACCATCTGTGGAAAATCAGTCATGGTGACGTGGTCATCTTTATCCAATATGAGATTGAATTCATTGAAATCTCCATGAATCAGCCCATGATTTTCAAGTTTGCCATTGAGTTCCATCACTTCATCTTATAGTGATGCAGGATCTTCAATGTGGTGTATTTGACATGGAGAATAACCACTTATGAGCTCCATGACCACTGCATGGCGATTGTAATTAACCAGCTTTGGAATTGGAAATTTTCTGTCATGTAATGCCCTCATATAAGCAAATTCCTTCACAGCAGAGAGATGAGACAAATAAGGCCAAGAAACATGCCTGTGCTTATGGTAATCATGCTAGTCTGTGCAGTTTGTTTGTTTATTTGTTTGTTTTGTTTTGTGTTTTTGGTACCAGGGCTCGAACTCAGGTTCATATGTTTTTGAGGCGAGAGGTGAGCACCACTGAGCTAAATCCCTGGCCCTAGTCTGTGAAGGTTTAATGCAAACTGCTGTCCTTCATTTGCAACAGTGTAAATATCTGATTCTTTGCAAATGCCCATCTGGTTTCCAACAGAGTCAACTACTAGTCTAGAAGAAAGTGTTTTCAAAGCTAGATAATCGTAGCCTGAGTATGTCAACCAATATCCCTGGACAGTTTTGGTATGCTCCCAAGCTATGAGTTTGTATTTCACTAATTCTCTTAAAATTTTATTACAGCCACCATGTTTCAGGCTGGCAGTGGAAGCAATCAAACTGCTGGGAACTGTTTCATGGTTCTTTATGCCCATTTCAACCCTGAAGTCATCCTGGCTCATGAAACGCAGCTTGGCTACCTTACCTTCCCCATGGCTGCTCCAGACACAACTGGAAGGTGCTCACGCACAGGGCTCCTGGGTAATCTTTCCCTTAAAATTCCTTTTTATAAAAATAATAGTTATTGATCAAAGCCCGCTCTTATTCAGTATGACCTCATCTTGACTATATCTGGAAAATCTATTCTACATGAGATCACATTCATAGGTACCAAGGGTTAGCACTTGATTCCTTGTGGTGAGAATACAGATCAACTCCCAGCAGAGCCTGACCACATAGAATGGAAGATGTGGACAGCTTTGCATTTTGCATGGGTCATTCTGGTAGGTTGAGCAAAGAGTCTGAAAAACCATGAGATGCTTGAGGACCATGTAGCAGTACATTGCAAAACAGTGAGTGAGAACTGCTGAGACCTGGACAAGGACACGTCTGTGAGAATGAATGCTGAGCCTTCAGAAGCACTGGCCAACCAACATGGAGTTTTTGTCGAAAAGAGATCATTGGCAATGGGGAATGTGTACTTCTACTGGGAGGCTTTGTGGTCAGCAGCCATTGATCACCATTTCTAAGATCTGGGGTTTCACTGGGTTGGATAAAATGGTGATATGCCGTGTTCTACAATTTTTGTTTGTTTCTTTGCGTTTGATACCGGGGATTGAACTCAAGACCTTGCGCTTGTGAGGCAGGCAGAGGAACCACTAAGGTAAATTCCTGGCCCAGTCCTACAGTTTTTACTGGGTAGGAAAAATGCTCTTCCTCCCTCTCTTTTTCCCTCTTTCCCTTTTTCCTCCCCACTTCTTTCTCTCTAGTTTAACTACAATTTGTTCCCAGACATTCTCTGAAAGTAGCCTTTATAAAGTTTTTGTTATTAGCTGTCACGATATCTCTATTGTTCAGTATCACTTTGAACTTATGAATTTTAATATATTTGATGATTTTTAGTCCATGTCAGTTATTATCCTTAATAATGCTCCAGTCATCCAGTGGGAGCCTCTTCATGTTGCCTTCTGAATCCTGTTATTACAATCTTAGTAATCTTGGTAGTTCTCATGCTTTCTTGAGCTTCTCCAATCAGATGGATGAAGATTGGTATATTATGGAGTTTTAATAAGCTTTTCCTAGTAGTAATGTACAGGAGCTTTTCATGTATTTAGCCGGTTGTATCAAGCTTGTATCTGATCAGTCCAGGGCCAAGGTGGATAACATGCTGTCCTCAGAGTGCATGGGATGATAGAGCAGGAGTCCCATACTCTAATCATGATTGCCACAACTTATAAAGTAGTCACTTATTTTCTGGATCTTCCTCTATAGTCTTTAAATCTCTCTCTCAAGCTAAGGTGCTGTGATCTTAATTTTGGCTCTCATATGCCCTAGTCCCCATATAAAGGTATTTTCCCAATAAAACCAATCGAATAATTGTGTGACTAAGTTCAATTTAATTTTTTGTGTTTGTGCAACTTATTTTATCAAATGAATTTATAAAACAAAAAATGTTAAATTGCGTGTTCTGGATTTTGTTGTCATTATTTAAAATATAGTCACTGAACCGATGAAGGCCACATGCATTGACCCTTCTGCTTGCTCTTTCAGAAGCTGCAGCCGACTGGCAAATAGCTTCTCCAGCCTCCTGCTGCAGCATCTGCTAATGCTCTGCAGATTTCCAGGGCCCCACTGCCTCCACCCCACTTACTCTCCTTCCTCAGGCTGCTCATTAACTCATTAGAAGCTGCTACAATAACAGCTGAGGGAGGTTCTTCTGTCTGACTCTAGCTCAGGATTTTCCAAGTATCTGCTTCAGTATCACCTGGAGTCTTCAGTAAATGTGACTGTCTACTCTGGCATGGCAAACAGAGGTACTGTGCATTCCCCATAGCATTGATCACAGCATCAGGAATCAGTGGATTCTGTACACAGATCTTTGTGTAACGTCCCCCTCACGTTCTGAACAAGTCTCACCAGGGCATCCTATGTCACAGGTTGCTCACCTCCCTATCCTGAGCACTCGATGTTTGGGCGTCCCCAAATTTGATGGATGCTACATACATGAGTGCAGGAGATGAAGAGTTGCCTGGATACAGCCATTTTCCTTGTGGCCCATGTATAACCAAAGAAGGATTTTCCCCAATTTAAGGCTGATATGTAGGGCTAGGTATCAGTACATGTGTGTAAATGTATGTATGTGTATACACACAATGGCTCTGTCCTGTTGTTGTCCAACATACTTAGAAATTTCAAAGCAGAAAGCTGGAAATTTCTTTGTCCTGTCAATCTGCATGCTGTTAAAAACAAAACAAAACAACAGCATCAATCTGTTGGTCAGAGATCCAGAATCTGGTGCAGATTCGACCACTTTTTGTGGCTTCAGGATTTTTTATCTTGTGCTTGCCAGGCAAGTGTGGTGCCGCTGAGCTACTCCCCACCCCTCCCTGCAGTATTATGAGCCCAACACTTAATCTTTGGAACAGTGGACTGGGGCCAGAGCGACATTAGGCTGTTGTCAGCACTGAGATCCTATGCTCTCTCTGCAGGGAGTGTTTTTCTCACCCACCTAGAAAGAACTCAGTTACTGTCAGGTTGCCTTCTCAGCCCAGCAAAGGCAATGGACTTTGTTCATTCTAAATCTCTCCCCCTCAGCAAAGCTCTCCCTTTGATTTACAGTTGTCTCAGCCCACTGCTGCCTCTCTGGACTTGAACAATCAGTTTTGCCACTTGGAAGTCTGCTTCCCAGTTTTCTCTTTCTCCTTCTCAGTAACCCTGTGTCAACTTTAAATTACTGGCCCCTCACTGCTCACTAGGCACTGATCCAAGCACTTGACAGGTACTGACTTATTTCCCGAGGATAAAACTGGATCCCACTAGCTTTTGCATCATGTGCTCATATTTACAGGCTGACCTGTGTCATGTTAATTTCATATCTCTGACTATGTGCTGTCTCATGGCTGGATTTTACATTAAGGCAACGTGGACAAGGTGACTTCGGCATTTGGATTCTCGGGTTTGAATGGAAGATAAACTGTAGGGTCACTGCCCTAAAGTAGGTTACATTGTGTCAGGAAATTAACCTGCAAGAAGTGTATGACAATATGAGATAATACATGATGTGCTAGATCCCTTGGTGCCCTTTATAAATCCTCCAATGTACTTCATAAATACTTTATCAATCGTAGTGGAGGTCAGGGAAGGGAGTTTAGTGTGATCCTCTGTAACCCACACACTTGACGCTTATTTCCAAGCTTCCATGGTACTAACTTTCCAGAGGTCCTGTTACCCAGCAGGAGCAGCAAACCAGGCTCAGCACCATCAAGGTGTTTCTGGGAGCCCAGTCTTCCGCAGCACACAATTGCTCTCTGTTTCACGTGCCGTTTCGATTTCTGTGCTCCCTTAAACAATTTCAAATCTACCTTGAATGAAGACACCAAAATTTAATTTTACCAGTGATAAAAGTTACATTGGATCTTTCTAGAGATGTGGAAAGCATTAAAAAGTAAGACGAAACAAAAAGCAGTATGTCTCACCCTCCCCCCGCACCCACCAAAAAAGAAAACCCAAATCAGAACATGCCCAACTCTGAGTCACTAGGTAAGTCAATTTTGCCTTCTTTTCCCCAGCTCATGGCCCTCATGAACATTGTCACCATCCAGTTTCACCCCATATCGGAGATAAGAAGGAAAGTATGAGACAGAGTGCTCTCTACACCCAGAAAAGAGACCACATTACATCCAAAGGACTCAAGAAAAACTTTTATTCTTAGAAGAAAGGCAGGGGTTGGCAGGAGGCTTGCCCATCTCCCTACAATTCCCTCCGTCAATTTTGAAAGGGAGCCAGAGCTCTGGGACATAAAGGTTTTGGGCTGAATTCGGACCAGTATGGGAATGAAAGGACAGAAACCTCTGGATTAACCTGATTCATTCATCCTCTTCCAGCTGAGCTGTGAAGATGTTGTAGAAAGATTTTAAAAGATAATATCCTGGGTTCTACTTTCTCTCCCATCAAACCTCCCTTGCACCCCCTTGGAGACTCACACAAACTACAGCTTTATTTTTGTCAAGCTACACTATATAGGTTTTCTCTTTTTTCCATCTCATTAACTTCACTCCCTCAGCCTCCCTGGCTTTTCCAATGATTAAAGTAGTGGGCTTTTAAAAAGGGCCTCCAATTAGCACCTCATCAGCTCCAATTAGAGGAGACAAAAGCAGTGTAAAGATAACTCAATGAGAGGGGCCGGCACAACATCATGTAATCACTTAAGACAAGCATTGAGCATTCCCTTGGCGACCCACACTGGGCCTATTCACCTTTCTTTCTTCCTTTTGGATGCATTTAAGACTGTTTTGCTGGGAAGACAGGCCTCCCAGGAGTCTCATAATTCCTCATTCAGTGGCTACCTGTTTACAGCTCAGAGAGTACAAGGACCTAAACAATCCTATATTGTGTGCCTGCACTTCCTTCAAGTCCAGCTCCTTAATGCTGTGATTTCTGGGGCCGGCTAAATTAAAGGCTGGCTTTATATTCACCAGTGTTCTTCTAATTACAAGGGAGGGCAACAATGTATTTTTTTTCAATGAGAGTTCTTTGGAGCAGTTAATTTGGTGCCTGTACTAAATGCCCCCAAACATTAATTAGGGTGGAAGGAACCCTAATTTCCTCAGCAGCTTTCCCCTCCACTTACTTCCCTCGTTTTCACATAGGCCTGGACAAGTCTCCATAATGAAATTACCTCATTAATGCCTTTATTCTCCACAGTAACTCATTCAAAACCCACCATTTAGCTTTAATTGAATGCTGTCAAAGAAAAAAGGTGCATTCATGGCTTTGATTAGCAAAAAATTTTCCCCCCTAAGGGGCGGACAGATTTAAATTATGAAGATGGTAAGTAGTGAGTTATAATTGGGGACAAGCAGCACTTCAGGAAAGCTTAAATGCTTTCAAAGCCCAGGCTGGCCAGTCTGTGGACTATTAACTATGTCCAGCGCCTTGTTCTCTGTATTTGAATTGATGGCAACTTAACTATAAAAAATAAAATGGGGTTTAATTTT